GAGTATTTATCTGCTTTATGGAAATGTCAAGAGGATTCGTTGGTTTGTGAAGCCCTGCAAGTTTTCTGAAGGATGGATTTTTACAGGTATTCAGAATGTTATTCTATTTGTTGATTGATGAATCATTGTGCAAATTCTGAGTGCTCAGAGACAAATCACTCTTTATTATTGTAATCTTTCTGTTAGTATTAATAGAAGTATGATTACTACTGTTTTTACTGTGAGGTACTTAGTCTGAGACACTAAAAGTATTCTTGGATCTCTTAATAATGAATTCACTACACATCATAGACTATATTTAGCACACAACTGTTGATTATTTTTTAGCAGTACTGTAAGAGTGCATTACAGATTGCCACAACCAGTTTTACTGTTGTAGCTTTTTAAAAAATTTCTCCAACGCTCTTGGTGAGGAAAGTAAATAACTCAGTAAAAAATTTGTGGCGTTTGAAAGCTAGATATTATTTAAAGCAATCAGTCTCCACTGTTGTCAGTTGCATAATTTGCTTCCGTTGGTTGAGAAGATTTTTTTCGATGAGTTCATTCTCCGATAACAACTTTTCACCTTCATGTTCCTGGGAAAGTATGTACAGTATGAATATTATGTGACCTATACTTCCCTTAGGTTTGATTCAGCAGCGTCCTTCTATATTTCCATGCGCAGACAATTCCTTATAGTCAAAGCTTGTTTAGAATAACAGTGGCAATAACAGAAAACAAGAACTATCAGAGAAAACATCTATTGGTAGAGAAGTTGCTACTTAGAGCTAAAAAGATAATGAAACTCAGAGGGACATAAATGGAATACAGTATGTAAGAAGATTGAAGAACATGAACCTTGCAGAGATAATTGAGCTGTTACAGGATATTGACCACCGGTGGGAATAAACCCATATACCACTAAGCTTCTCCATGAATATTGTTTACATCACAGTTTGCTGTTTATGTAGAGTTAGAGTTAAATTTTCCTGCTTGTTTTATAAGTTTGTATAAGTCTACCAGGAAGGTTCATTTTTTTCCTGAAGAAAGTATAACATAAATGTAGCTTCTGGGTGGCAGGTGGTTGCAAAGAAAGGGAATCAAAAAGTTATGCCAGAGTCAAAATAGGAAAGTATGTTTCTCCTTATATAACTCAAGGATATATACACTCATTTTGTATTGACAGAAATCTGTAGTAAAAGAAAAAAAAAATTCTTCCAGGGCAGAATCTAGACATAGTGAAATATCCCAGAACGGTGGTATAAATAAGAAGTAGTTAGAGCAAAGCAATACAAGATTTCAAATATTAGCTATAAAATGAATGATCACAAAAAGATTTTAAGGTCCAAGTAATAAATGATGTTCTAATAATCATATGTCTAAAGCAACCCATGTACCTTATTATTAACATTTGAAATGATCCATTTAAACACTAAAGAGAATTCTTCCTAATAGCTGTATAAAAGCAAAAGAGCAGACAGAAGACCACAGAGAAAACATTTTGCGCTCTGTCATTTCTCTCTTACCAGAATTCAGTAGCTTAGGACAAGATGATGACAGGCTTGCTGCACTTCTTGACACGTGGCCTTGTTTATGACCCTGTCATAAACAGAGCTCTCTTTAGAGCTTAAATGAACACTTTTTTTCCAGAAAACTTAGTCATCCAGTGGTTCAGACTATTGCTAAGTAAACAGGATTAGATGTTTTAGAGGTTATAAACATTTTAGCAAATATTTTCCAAGTTATCTTTCTCCTAAGCCACAAAGTACCTTTTCATTTATTTTACCTCTATTAACTTATTAGTCTCTGGGATGTCCTAACAGAGTGCATAGAGTTGGTAAAGCTCAAAGCACTCAAATCATCATTGGCAAGTCTGCTTGAGAACGTGTGGCATGCTGAGGAGAACTGGGCCTAGACTTTTCCTTACCCTCTAGACATGCTCATTATCCCAGCACAGACTGCATACAGCTAGTGTCCTGATCAGTCCTTACGTAATAGGGTTTCTCATCAATGCAGAAAAGACAATTTCAAGCTTTTGAGTGCACACTGGGTGTGTCCCCAGATACTCCGGTAATGAAAGACGAAGTATGTTTTTGAAAGTCCTATAGGACTGCCTGTTTCCAACGCTCACACTAGTGGAAAACACAGAGGTTAGCAGAAGAAGAACCTCAGGAAATAGGAAAAACTTAGAAGAGAAGAAAGTAGAAAGAGGAGGGGAAATATGAAGGAAAAAATAGAGGGTGCCAGTAAAGAGAACTGGAGGAAAAAGTAAGGTAGCTGAGAAAAAAACATAGAGTTGCAGTTAGAAAAAAGGAAACAGAATGTTACGCTCAGAAAAGAGTAAGCATAAACAGAGAGAGAGAAACAGTGAATAGGCAATATGAAAAGAGAAAAACTAAGACTGAAGAAATGCAGAGTCAAAAGATGTCAAAAGACTAGCCGTTTTAATACTGGTTTCAGAAGTTTGTTTACTATTTCTGTATGTTGTTTTTTTTCTCCATGTAAACTCTGAAAGAAGATCCATTTCAGAATGAGGAACACAGTTTGGATAGCCGGCGCATATGTACCTAGATTAAGAAATCAGGCTATAAAAATAATTTAGGCATATGAAAGGAAAAAAATAAACACAAGTACTTTTAGTGTCACTTACTACTTGCTGTTAACCCACTTGAAATCTGTCCCCTTTTACTTTCACTGGCAGTTGAAAGCCAGAGAAATGCCTCACAGGGAGAGCTACAGAGGAATTTAGTCCATTTAATTTTTCAAAAAGGAGATTAAGAGGTGACTTGATTAGAGTGTCTAAGTACCTTCACAAGGACAAAATATCATTCACTTAAGGACTCTTTAGTGTATCAGGAATGATCATGGCAAGGATGTCAGAAGCTGGAGTCAAACAAATTCAAATTATAAATAGGGTCAAGTTTGTAGCTGTGGCCACTTTCTCAATGAAAGTGATAAATTCTCAATCTCTTTGTGTATTGAAATGGAGAATGACTGTTTTTTTAGATGATTTTTCACATATGTAAAATTGATTTCTAAAGAGAATTCTCCAAGAAAACTGTACACGTTAAGGGAGTCTACTCGGAAGTTTTTTAAATCATTCTACAAAATGAAATAATAGTGTTATGTATGAACTCTCAAAATATGTATAGGAAGTTTCTCTGTCCTCATTACATTTTATTAAACTTTGCCCAAACGAATTTACAGCACTCACAAACATTTACAAACCCTGTATCACAGTGAACATATATAGAATATCACTATATTTCCTTAACAGCTGCAAGAATGCACAAAAGGAGTTGTTCTAACTGTTCACAGGTGGCTATATTTCATTTTTCTCAAAAGCAGCAACTGTTCAATATTTGGGAGCAGTCATTCAGAAATGGAGATCATGCAACAAACATTAATGCTTATTTATTTTAATCAGAGTAAGCATAAAATAAGTAATTAAAAATTATCCACTAAATTAATGGAGCCAGTCAAAATATGAAATGACCAGCCCAAATGTATTATATCATTATATATACAGAGAGATAGTATGATAATACTTAGAACAACACCACTTATCACAAGATATGCACAGCAGTTTAGCAAGCTGCATAAGCCCATAAAGAAAGTATTAACTTTTTCCTAAGTCTAAATGAAATCAGTTATTTATTTATAATTCTCAAATTTCCCGTTGCCTAGAATTTGCATGTTGAGGCTTTTTAAACTGGAGAACGGCTGTCTCGTAAAGAGGCCCAAAGCACGGACGGATTTTGTATTCTGTCAAACCTTTTTAATGATAATGAAATGAAAGTCCACTGTAATGCATACACATAAGGAATCAAGTTAAGTTTCTGTGAATATTTTGTCTTGAATCTACTGTCATTTTTGTGATTCAAATGTTAGCTAAAACATTCATATAACTTTTCTGCATATATTGTGTCACTGTGTTGCTGTGCAGAAGCCGTAGGAATCAGAATTGCTCTGATTGTAACTAAGATGCATGCTGATTTAGTTGTCACAGTGGAAAAATCTTTTATCTTCTTTGTGCTTGCATAAAACAGTTATTCAATCAGCAGATAGATTTGATTTATCTGTTATCTGGTAGTATCTCCAAGGAAAAGAAGTCAAGTATTGCCATTTGTGGCCACTGCATGTAGCAAATGTTCAAAGGAAAAAAAAAAAAGTAGTTTACTCATCTGCTATGTTAAAAATGTTTTTTTCTTATTTTGTATCTTAAAAAAAAAATCAGGTATTGGAGGTACAGTGAAGAAATGAGATCCATGGACCCTGGTTATCCCAAACCAATCACAATCTGGAAAGGTATCCCAGAATCTCCTCAGGGAGCCTTTGTCCACAAAGAAAATGGTATGCAAACAAATTCCAGTTTTAATGATTTATGAACAACACCCTTTATGTAAGATAGAGTGGTATAGGGATGAGGTTAAGCAGGGAATTAATTCTTGTTTTATGAAGAGAGGAAGTATTTCCTGCTGTAGAGTTTACTGTTGTGAATATGGAAATGTTTATGTGGTTGCACCATTATGTTTATTCTCTGTTGGATTACAGTACTTCTTTGAACAAGTTCCCTACCCAGAGTATATCTCTATTTGAATTGCCAAGGTGTTGGCTGCTTATACAGCTTGGAAGCTATTATCTTCCATCTGAACTACGAGAACAGGGAAGCAAGACCTTCTGTTATCTAAGCAGAAATATCCTGAGAATCTGTGTAAATCAAAGATGTCATAAATCCATGATGCAGAAATGCAGATCACAGGTTGCTTAGCATGCAGTTGTGTTGTCTGGACCAAGATGGATCATCACACAGAGCAGCCTAGGATCTCAGCATCTCCAAACGAATGAGAGTAACCCAAACTCCTGCCTTTCAGATGAGTTAAATACTACCCAGGGCTGCTGGCAGGCTGCCAGCAGAGCTCTCAGTTGCGCAGACTTTAGATCCCCTTGATATGGATGAACATATGAATTTGCCACCACTTTTCATTGTTGGAAGAATTTTGTATGGCATGGATGACTGATTTATTAGTAGGTTTGGGGTTTGTTGCACTCACCTCACAGACAGCACACATATATGTTGCCATATTATTTTAATTTCTGTTTAATAGGTAGATAAAAAAGCCTTCTTTCATTGTATAGACCCTGAATAGTCTCCTGTTTCAAATTTTAACTCGATTAACTAATTTACTATAGGTGTATATTTTTTTTCAGAAATATATTTAATTATTTCCTTGCTTTGTACCTGCTTCATCCAGAAGCAGAAGCCCTCTCTGGATTCCAGCATTTTGGCTAGAGTGTGTTTTTTTCATGTTGTTTTTGATTTGTTTTGTTTTGTGGTTAACAGGAAAGTAGGTCAGGCAAGATGGCATTCTGCATATATCACACTCAATAGCTGACTGTTGTTTATAAATAGGCATATATATGTGGAAATTAGACAAACATTATGTATACACACATATACATAATCTACATAATCTGTGCTATCTTTCCTTCATTACTTTTTAGGCATATTTCTGAAGGCTACATTCAAAAGATATTTTACATACATGCATACATATATATTTGCATGTGTGTGTGTGTCTGTGTAGGTAGATATATATTTTTTCTTGTGTTGATTGGATTCCCCATAATAAAGTGTCAGTACTGAGCTCAGGTACATATATCTCTCATTACCAATGAAAATTATCTTAACACTGAGACTAGTGGGTCTGAAACTACTGCAAGGAGAGAACACTTGTTGCTAAGGCAGAAAAGACCTGGTTATAGCGAACCCATTTCTCCTCTGCTCTTTTATCTTTTTTTTTCCTACAAGCTTTAATAGTCTTTCTAAAAGTCTTCAAATGAGGAGGGTGGCAAAGCTTGATTATCAGACTGTGGAGGAGGTGGATGGAAAGGAGGGTACTGTCGGGTCTCTCAGAGAGGCTGCAAGGGCCGCAGGGGCAGAAAGAAGGACTGAAAATTACACCAGAACGTTCCCAAGAAGAACACTAAGACATTTCCCTTGAAGTCATGAAAACAGACATGTCTTAAGAAACGGTTCACATCTCCACTGCTGTTTGTATGGAGAGAGAGAAAAGAAGCAAAAGTAGATACAATAAGGTAGCACAGCTGACTTGGAAAGAATTTGATTGTATTTTGCCTCAAACTGTTTTCCTTTGGGTAGAAACAGAGCTGACATGAAGTTTTACTGCATAGTTTTGTAGGAGACCATTTATAAGCCTGTCTTCCAGTTAAACTAACTAATTTTAAAGAATACTTTTTTTCTTCTCTTGCCTTTTTATTTTGTAAACCATGCCAAGTAACATTAAGGCTGCTCATAGATGATAGGGGGTTTCTTTTACTTCCTACAAATGTTTGAATAAGTAAGAGGCTAAGGAAAGATGAGAAAAAAAAAAAAAACAATTTGCTGCTATTGCCAGCATCCTGACTCATTGAGTGTCCCAGAAGCTGGGTGAGACACACATAACATCTTGGACGCTCTGCTGCTTTCTGTAATGTAGTCTGGTCTCTAGCGCTGTGGCGGGAACTCCGCAAAGAAGAAATTTCCTTTCTGTTGCTTCATGCAGTCTGAGACGACACAAATTTCTCCAGTTAGCTGGTTTCTTTCTGCCTTGAGAGCAGCTTAGAAAGTCTCAACCCCACCTAGAAATTCTGCTGAAGTCACAGTGGGGCAATGTTAGTGAGAGGAAAGATAAGAGGTTGTCTACCTGATTAGCCCATTGAGCTTTTCTGCCTCAGGCATGCTACCATTCCTAACGTGAGCTGCTGTTTGACACCTTAGGGACTGCTAAGCCCCTCCACGCTGTTTGGGGTTTTGGCATTGCTCTCACTGCTCCCAACAACTAGCTCCTCAGAGAGGTAAGGAGCAGCTCCCTATACAGGCTTCTCCGTAACCACCTGCAGGAGCATTTCTGGATACCTGCAGGACAAAGTCAAGCAGATTAGATGAAATCTCATTCAAAGGTCAGCTGAAATCACCTCTTTCTGCAGTGAGAAGCACTAAAACTACTTAGCCTCTTACAACCTCCCGGTCTCTCAGCTGGGAACTGCCCTCCGGCGGCTGATACTGACCATGTTATCCTGGTTCTCGCCGCAGCAAAACAGCAGGAAAGCTTAAACTACCTTCAGTGTTTTCCAGGGGGAGATGTGCTTTGACTGAAGGTTCTGTAGGGGCTGGTAGTTGCTGTACTGCTTTGATTTTAATTCTTTTCATTTGCTATTTCAATATTTGATACCAATTGATACTAACTAAAGTCAGTATTCTGATTTATATGTACACCTGATATGTATATGTATATATAGTCCATATATATCAGAACACAGATATAGATATGTGAGAGATATATGTATATATATAGTCTATATATACATATCAGAATATAGGTAGAGTCTTGATATATCAAATTGCCAAAGTTGGAGTTCTTATTCAGGGTCAGTATGAGCAGTGCTTTCTTGTCTACATATTGTTACGTGAAATACATAGATAGGGTACCTTGTGGCTCAAATACTGAAATTTTGCACTTGATAATATTTTTAATTTCAATTGCAGATTGCTTTAAGGAACCCTATATATGCTAACATTTTAAAACTTCTTCATATTTAAAGAATTGTAGTCCTATATTTGTTTTGTTCTAATCAGAATAGAAGACATTTTATGACCAAGCATCCTAACCACTGTTTCTATATAACTCAATCCATTTCTTTTCTTTTTTTTTTTTTATTGAAAACAGTATTATACCTTTTTCTAGATACACTGACATATTCTTTGACAATAAAACTGCAAAGGATTAAAGAAAGGAAAATAGTATCTATTCAGCAGCTAGGAAGGCAATTAGAATTGCATAAATAGCTAATGTAGAAAAATGTTCAAATATTCTAAACGTTCTGAAACTTGCAGCACTAGGCTGTGAAAACTTTTGTACATAGTTTGAGCTGGAAAAGAAATAGACTAACAAGTCCTTTTTTGTAGAATTGAAAGACTCTAACAGCTGTTTGAATAGTCATTATTAATATTCTCTCCAGATAGCCAGTTACTGATCTTTCCAGGAAACATTGTCAAAGTGACAAATAGTGCCCAATCTGTTTTAATATTCTTAGTAGCCTTTAGCACTACAGGAAAAAGCTGAGGTCTATAAAGGAAAGATAAGAAAAAATCCAGCTGTTGCAATCAGCTCGTAAACAGTAGGAGGAAGTTCACCCATCCTGAAGGTTTATTTCTTGCCAGATCAATGCCATTTTTCAGCTGCTGTAATAAAGTACTGCAGATTTTTGGCAGAGAGTCAGTTTTTCTTCATTTAGGCACATTTGGTAATTGCATTGGATTGCACCTGAATGATCAAGTACCAGTTCCCTGCAGAAAATTTGAATCTGGGTACACCTGTTTTCTCTTGGCAAAGTTGCTGTTATTTTATCTAATTTCCTTCTTCTGAAGTACGGCAATAGATTTAAGTGACACTGAGGAGGGTCACTTCTCATTTCTGACTTGCACAGTGTTGCAGTTTGCTTCCTATATTGAAAGAGGTTGGGATGCTTCAAGGTACAAGACCTGTCCCTGATGATTCTCTAGCTCTAGAGATTTATTTGGCTTTTCAGTTAGGTTTCCTAGCTTTTTTTTTGTTTATTGGCGGGGTTGAACACATCAGCTGGCCCCTGATCTGTTCAAAATCTTATCCTCTGTAATTTCATTATTTTTTTAGTAAGGCAGGGAAATAAAATCCCAGGTTATTCAAATAAGAAATCTAGGCTTTAAGATTTTCTAGAGACAAGAAAGAAGTTATTCTGCCCCGAAGATTTGAGAAGTCCATGACTAAAGTATAGTCCTTACATTTTTTGACTCTCATTGTTACAAAAATTCAGTACCAGTGGTTTCAGTCACTGTATATAGATGACATGATCTGACCTATATGACCATGAATAATTGCACTTTCCTTCCTCAGGCTTCACATATTTCTACAAAGGAAAAGAGTACTGGAAATTCAATAACCAGATGCTCAGGGTGGAACCTGGCTACCCCAGATCCATCCTCAAGGATTTTATGGGTTGTGATGGACCAACAGACCGAGACAAAGACCGACACAGCCCTCAAGATGACGTTGACATTGTCATCAAACTGGACAACACAGCCAGCACTGTGAAAGCCATAGCCATTGTCATTCCCTGCATCCTGGCCTTGTGCCTCCTTGTCTTGGTTTACACTGTGTTCCAGTTCAAAAGGAAAGGAACACCCCGCCACATACTGTACTGCAAACGCTCTATGCAAGAGTGGGTGTGATGTAGGGTTTGGGTTTTTTTCTTTCCCTCCCAGGAGTTTGTGGTAACTTGAGATTCAACACGAGAGCTGTTATGCAGTTTCCTAGCTAGGAGCGGGCATCTGTCAGTCTGAAACAAAGCTGATCTTTAAAACCCCGGGGGTTGCCTGTCCTGCGCATGAGTGGTGATTCGCTCGGCTGGGAAGCTTCCATGATACACAGTATCTGCTGTCTCTTCAGTCCTTTGTCTTTCTTTGTCATTCGATTCTAGGCCTTTCCTCTGCACGCTCAATACCCGACAAACTATCAGGATTAACTAATGAAGAGGAAAAAAAAAATCTCCAATGTTTCTACATTTGTCCCCTAAGGCCTGTTCCCCTTTGAAAAAAATTTTTTGCTGAAAGTAAATTTTTTTAGAAAAAACAACGACCCACAACGGAACTTTCAGGAAAGTGAGAAGACCCAAAACAGCTTTGTCTCCAAAGAGGATTGCTTTCTGTCTGCTATGGATAAAGTCCTATACTCCTACTTCCAGTTTTGTCAGGTGGGAGAGCCGGATGACACGCAGGACTTCAGACTGTTCGGACAGCCATTTTCCAACAAACAAGGGGCCAAAATATCTGCAATATAGTAACAGCCTTAATGATACATTCATTTTGTGTTTTATACAGCTGCTCTGGGCTATGTCCTCAATGTTTTAAACTCATTTATATTCATTACTATATTCAAGCGGAACCTTTTTATTAGTTTGTTTGGGTTTTGGTTGGTTTTCCTGCATAATCTTTCCCAAATTATACCAAGCCAGCTGCCCCAGGCCTTTCACAGGTCTGTCAGGAGCGCTCATTCCAAAGCATGGTAAAAAGCCGTGTGTCTCTGAAGTGGATTTCAATGAACTGAAGCAACAGTCGCGCTACAGAGAAACTTGACACTGGTATTATATCGGTGTAACCCTTTGAGAACTATTGCATCAGTTTTCAGAGTCTGGTGGATACTAATCTTTATTGTCATTAAATTATAGGATTGTGTATGGGAAATACAGGTTTTAAAAGAAAAATCAGGTTTTTAAAACAGATTTCCTCTGTTTCTGCAAGTGAATGTTTTTATTATTTGCATTATTGATGAAAAGAAAAAAGCATTTGTAACATACAAATAGAAAGCAAAATATATTTACCAGCTCCTTTCCGGTTAAATGAACCAAACTTATTTTAATAACTGCTACCACTTCCCAAGGATTTTTTTCCGAACTGGCTACAGTTTTATAGCTTAGCCTTTTATCTTAAGCATATTGAATTTCTCTTTTAAACTATGTTGCATGATAATTCAATTTGCCTCTACAGAGGTAGAGTTACAGTTTCAAAGGAAAGCTAAAATGACGACTCTGATGTTGCATGAATATACTCCAGTGTTTTACCCCATTGCATGTTCACTATAGTTCTCAAAGGGTTAGTCAAATCTCTGGCATGTAGCCGAACTTTATGTCACTGACAGAGCCAAGGGACCACCAAAGCATTTTGTCATTGCGTGTAATTTGTGCTAACAGCAGTATTGTCATTTTCATGTGACCTGCAGAGCAGGTTTGTATCAATATTTTTTTCCTAGAGAAAAGTCAGCAACTGACAGACCTCTTTATTGATTTTAGGAGCTGCTTCTTGCAGTGATAGGCTTTACAGTCACTGGGCTGTGAACTTAATAAGATGGTCAGAATGAATGCACCCCATGAGTCAGACACCTGGCTTTTTGTGGAAGCCAGGATTTGAGGGGAGTAGCTTTTGAAACAATGAACAGCTTGCCTTGAACTTGATTATTGACCTGTTGACTGTCATTACCAAGTTAAACATTGTCTTCTGTGAACAGCTTCACTGTCTGAATTTCCTTAAAGTGTACCGTCCTATGTCTTTGCTCTTTGACCTTTAACTTGCAAACTGGCACAATCTGAAGGGAATCTGGTGTTGCTAATCAATTGAGATGGGTTTTACTTCTTGAAAGGCCTGGTATATACTATCAAAAACTAAAGAAAGAATGTGAAATTGTTTTCTTAGAAAAGAAAAGAAGTGGCAGAAACTAAAATATTTATGATAAATCTGTAGAAGGGTATTTTGCTATGTATACGTGCACACTCTAAAAATGAACTACAGTAGAAGTGAATTTTTATTTAACTTGAATAAAATTTTCAGTATAAAATTATCATTTCTACAGATAACTAGTTATTAATGAAAAGGTTATAGGAAAGTATTAAGATACTTGAAATGGCCAGTATTGGCTTTTACAGAAAACAAGATTTTTTATACTACATACAACCAATTTCTTACTGATTTCTTAATCCACATAGCTAGATCATTTTTTAGAGAGTGTAGGTATATATACATATATATTATGGTTATTATTATTTTGGTAATGAAATGATAGCTTGACTGCCTTGAATTTATATTTATATTGAGCATAGCATGAAAAATAGTATGCCTTTTTGTTCAATTCCATGATTTTATATTGATTTGAGGACTTATTTTATGAACATATGTGGCATGCTATAAAGCATTGCAAACTTAATTCTTAGAGCATAAACAGATATATGTATGTACGGCTAACAAACAATGAAGATTAGAAGAAGATATAGTTTTACAGCAAATATGCAATGCAGATGGCATTTTGGAGATGTTTTGTAGAGGTACTGCATACTGTAGGTTAGAAGTGCACCAGTATCAGCCCATAGCATTATTTAGTAAATCCAATTCCATTGTTACTAAAAATATAGATTATTTCCTAATCAAGTAAATAGGATATTTACTGCAAATCAGCTCATTGAGTGAATTCATAGTTCTATGCCTGTTTGTGATATATATTAATATGTGTATGTATGTGTGTGTATGTGTGTGTGTGTGTGTGTGTGTTGGTATATTTAACACACACACAAACACACATACACATACATGCATATTTTAAACCGTAGAGAAATTTTTATTGCCAGCAAACTGCTATAACTTATGTTCTGCCACAGACAGAACAAAATGATTCATGTTACTGTTCTGATTTTGTCCCTTGGATAGTTGGTGGAAAGCGCTAACACCACTACTTAATCTGCATTTGGTTTTCCTTTACAATGGGAGAACTAATTTTATATTATCCTTAAGGCAGAATAGCATCTTATCTGTTTTCCTATTCACTTAGAAATTTCACTTCAACTTCAAAATCTTTTTCGTGGCAGCTTTAACTTTTTGTGCAACTGTTTCCCTGAGAGTAATGAAGTGCTGAGCATGTTGACTGTTGTTCTTTGGTAAGGTAAAAAAAAAAAAATGTTTGTATTTGGAGAACTTACTTAACTTTAATTATGCAGGAAGGTAAGTGTGATAAGTCTAGTGCTTGGTATATGGTACATCATAGATACATGAATACATAATAAGTTGATTCTTTAATCTATTTTCTTTTACTTAAAAGTGCATATATATTATATACACAGAGAAGGAGAAAAAATGAATATTATACTGGCATGTTTATGTCATGCAAGGCAAGGTTGTGTCAGCATTTCTACTATATACTCCTGTTTTCAGTAGGTTGTAACACATTCATTAAAATTTGCTTTAGGTGAAAGATGTAGAAGCAATTGTGTTCAGTCTGATTTCCAAATACATATTTGGGTGGCTTCAAATTATAGTAGTAGTTCAATATAAACTAGTGGTGTTGCCGAGTTTAGTTTTGAACTTAAACAAGCAAAAGATAGTTTTAAGAAAATGTTATTTTTTAAACAATTATTCTATACCAGGGCCTATAATTATTGGCATCAAGAAAAAACAAGGTGAAAATATTTTGTTTGACTTCTGAAATCTGGGTTCCTGCTCACATGCCGTAACTTTTTTCATAAAATTTTTAATAAACATTTCCATATTGCTGTTGTCACAATCTGTACTGTGGAACAATACAAAACTGAATATGGATTGTTTTAATCAGTTACAGTCTATGAAGCTGACTATACAGGGTTGTGTACCTTCAGAGTACTATAGTCTGTATTATGCAGGAAGCCAGAATAGATGATGGCAGTATTTCCTCTGATCTTTTAATGTATAAACCTAAGAAAAGGTTATTGACTGTAGACAGAAATTAACTTTTATCAAAAGTACATTTAAAGAAACTATGTAACTGTATATTTGCTGGATAGGCTGGGATGGAGAGACTCAAATGGCTCCAAAGGAGCCCTTTCAAGTCTCGTGAATAAACATAATACATATTTTATATCTTCCTATTAACTTTTGTTCTTCTTTTTTTCAAAGTGGGGTAAAGGGAGGGAGCAATTACAGAAAAAGATGTTGTAAGGCAAATATTGTGAAATAAGGTAACAGAAGCCAATAGATTCAAACTGAAGGGGCAGACTTGCACTTTCTCTTGACAGTGTGCTTCACCTCCCCGGTTGTTCAGCCGAGACTCCTGTGCCAAGGGCACTGTGGGTTAAGAACAGAGTGTAAGCCTAATTTTGAATTTTCCGCTTTTTTGGCTTACTTCACAATCCTCATGTCAGTTAAATGTAGCCTCTGGTACCAAACTATGTAGAATCAAATTCTGACTTTTTGTTTAGAAAAAAAAGTGGGTAGGATAGAAAGTAGCAATGGAATCACTCCATTTCTGGTTTACCACATTTGAACCATCGGTGGGGCAAAGCTTGAAAAAGGCATATAGCAAACTGAAGACTGCATGCTCCAGAAATTGTGTTTCTAAGAAAGCAGAAACTCAAGCTACGACACCACTGGCAGCCTAAATTGAAGATAGCTTAAGATGACCCGACTGAGGAGCTAGGAGGGGTTTGCACAGTCCTCGCCTAAGTTGTGGCCTATGTGGAGTGTATCCTAAGTTTTATCCTCTGTTGCAGAGGTGGAGGAAGCCACATGTAGTGGCAGTAGGAGACGTGAAGAGGCTGTTATAGAACAATCCCCCCCTGCCACTTTTTGCTGCTGCCATGACTGTTTTTGGACAGCTCTATTCCCAGAAGCATAAACAGATGACTGCAGCACTATGAGCCACAAAGAAAATCGTTATTATTATCAGTGGAAGGAACAAATGTTACTGGCCGCTAAGGTGTTCAGCTATGCTGTAAATCAAGTAGTATTGTGTATGAGCTGAGGAACAGATTAATATTGAATCCAATGATATTGCCATGACTGATACACAGTGCTGTGACATGAAGCATACTTTCTTAGCTCACGGTGCACAGATTGTAGACAAACAGAGTAGCTATCATAAGATCATTTTAACATATGTCAGTTACAAAATCAGATACAAATGAACCATACGTCATGTGCTCATAAAATAATCTCTCTGATTTATGCCTGAAAATCAACAAATTGTCTGCTAGCGGTCACATGATAATATATAATGTGTTTGTCCCATCTATCTAATCCATTCTTATGACTTTCCAGCTGACTATCACAAGAAGGCTTGACTGGTAGAGAAACAGATTGTCATCAGTGCCATAGACGCAGAAAATTTCTGGAAAGCATCAAAAGCAGGCCATTACTATTATAGACTGGTTCCATTTGGCACCTGATCTAAGAGTAGTTTCTAATGTTAGCTTAGGTTCTTTCTGATGCAGGGTTATTTGGTGCACATAGAGAACCAGAAAAGCTCACTGCTAATCAGGAGTTCACATTTTGGAGGATCATCAGGATGTGACCACAACAAGCATTTGCTCTTAAAATCCAATTTCAAAGTGTGTAAACAACATTAAATGCATACATGATAAACAAGACTTGTTTCCCAGTACAAGTACACTTTAGCATATTATCTAACAATTATAGTCAGTTTATTCACATTTGTAGCTGCAACGGCCCAACAGGACTTTGAGATTTGGCATTCTGTGAAAAGTATACATAAAATGAGTTGGCCCTGTGGAATTACCTTTAATTACTGCTCTCGTCCACCCACAGTATACGGCAAATAGATGTTAGAAACAGATGAAGCATATAAGAAACATTGGTGTAAACTATCCTGCTAAAGAAGATTTTCTACACTTGCCTGTGTGTACAGCATAATGTTAGTTGCTGTCACAGTAAAACTGCATTAACAAAATAACCGTTGACAGAAATAATTGCCATATGCCAGCCATTTATGATGGCACAAAGCTTTCCAGTTATATGGCTTGGTTTCTTCTGCTTCTATAAATTACATTGTCCGCAGATGATAATCCTAATAACTGCCACACAAACCAAAATTTTCTGTTTAGGTGGTAGTCAGCTCTCTCCTACAAAATTGCGTCAAATCCTTTTCTTATCTACACCCTTAATCTCCTTGGCCAGCTATCAGCACATGTGAATTCATAGTCTTTTACGTCAGCTGTTTTTTGCTATTGCAGTAAAATATATACTGAGCAATCTCTCCATTTTGCCATCTGGTACTAACATCTGATTTAATCACTTTTACTCTTTCTCATGCCCGTGTCCTGAATCATCCATTTTTTCATCCGTCATTCTGGAAACTGGGTCTCTGGGAAGTGGAATTAGCAACAGGAGACTGGGATCTGATGAATTCCTAACCTAAAGCACGGTACCTGTCTAGCCCTTAACAACAGGACAACAGAATGGGAAGAATTTTCTGTGAAGTATTATGTCACTTACCCACCCGTGGCAGCACAATATAATTCTGCCAATGAGTGCGTGCCCAGATGGGTTCACCACTTGCAGAGCGTAGTGTGTTAAGTCAGAAAATAATATATCTAATCAACATTTCTATCCTGATATGTTGGCATAGTATAACAACCAGTCTGTGCACATATTTCCTAACTTACATGGCTGCAAACAAAGGCCTGTGGAAGCTGACAGTGCTTAAGGTCAACGCGCAGTCATGTTAACTCATTTATGAGACGTGAGCAAATTTTAATTCTCCTACTTTCATTTCACGGCCTCAGGAAAAAGAATGTAGGTCCATTCATAATATAAAGTGATGGTTTATAATACTCCATCAGTGTTCACAATTACATGATACTACGGCTCAGCAAGCCCTGTTGTCCAACTGATACATTCCAGTCAAAACAGCACAATCCTATATTTAGGTGTACAATGAATCTAAATAGAGAGGCACATACTGCATCTCCTTTGCTTAGCTATTGCCACAAAAAAATAATGAGTGCCCACATACTGATCCTCTTTATATGTTATGGGATCACTAAGCTGATGTCAGTTGCAAGCAGTTTTTTTTTTATTGAATGTGAGCAGAGTTATATGCATTAGAAAATCGTACTTGTGATGATGTGCATTCAGAAGGCATCATCAGCAACCTACAGTACTGTTTCAAATGATCATGGCAAACACAGCAATTCATACCTGCAAAGGCATAGGTATGGCATATATTTACATAGTTGTCTTTTACCTCATATAATCAAGTGCTGTCAGCTCTGGCCATGCATCCCAAGGTAGGTGATAACCCTTAAAAAAGTCCTTCAGGGTAGTCATTGTCAATACTCACACAGCTCAGAAATACCTGAGACTGTTGTACCTGAGAAAATGTAATCTTGAATAAGAATCCAGTGTTGAAAGAACGTGCAGTGAAGTGAATAATCTATTCTCTGCTTTTACGCTATACAATGCATTTAGCAAAACGCTGTCAGTTAAGTACATGCCTAGCATCTGTCTTTAGTATATGTTTCCAACACCAAGTAGTCATCTCTTGTCAATTTATGCTTACAAATTTTGACTTATGTTGTCATTCAGTATTGCTGTCTAATGGTGTCTGGATGAAAACCATTTTATAAGATAAGACCAAGGATTATGATTCCCCCTTCACATTGTACAAGATAGGTATACCATAGATAGACCTGCTATAGGTTAAGTGTTGCTTTGAAAGTGGTAGCCCTTGGCTCACAGCAATGAAAATTACAGCTGTCTAGAACCACTCCACTGAAATTTCTTCAGAGGAAAGAATTAAATGAGCCTTCTTCTCACAACTTCTAGGATCGACGGAAGAGCCAACTAGGTCTTTTGATCAAAGACTGCTGAGCAGACATAAAAGAAACGGCATGAACACATTTCCATTTTTCATTTCTAGCAGGATATAAGAAGGGCAATGAGAACAGCTTGGTCCATAAATAAAAGTGCAAGTTCAGTTTGACAGGAAGGGAAGGAACCATACACCACTGACACCAGTAGGATTGCATGTAACCACTATCTTGATAACCGACATTAAAATGGAGGAGATGTTATCAGGAACTTAGTGATGGCTTGGAAAGTATTATCGATCTCCAACAACAGGGAGACATGTTAGACTGTATAGAAGTCTATCGAATTCTATATTTGCTGTCATAATCCATGGGACAGTAGTCAGTCAAAAGACCCCTCAGTATAGTTACTCTGAGCCTGACTACAAATACAGAGAGATAGCACATTGTTTATCTGATGCAGTCACAAATCTTTCCCAATAGATTTAGTCAAACCAGCATCAACCTGAATCTTCTCACAGTGAAATGTTCTTATATTTGTTTTCAGAAGTTAGAACCACAAAGTTATCTGTCCTTTGAAGAACTCCACAAGGTGAGATGTTGAAGGAGAAAGAAGCCACTCCTTATAGTCTAAATGTCAGTTATGTCACTTTATGTCCATGCTATGTCACTCTTTAGGCATTTGATGTAATAGAAACACATCTATGACCTTTGGATGGATCATTTATTGCTACATCTTTATGTAAATTGATAAATACAGTCAAACTACTGATCCTATTTTTTTTCCCTCACTGTGCCCTGATGTGTTTCCTGACTGGCTGAGGTGATATTTAATGTAATCTACTCTCAGAAGACAACCGAGGAAGGATCTTTAGATATACAGACTAGCAAAGAAATTACAATTTTACTGTCCATCTCATTAAGCACACACATTTTTATAGTCTGTCACGAGGAAATGCACCTTTTGTGTCTGTCGTGAAGAGGTAGTAGCTACTCAAATACATGATGTGCACATTTGAGGAACCTAGGGTACGTTTTCACTAAATCTTGTCCATGTCGGTCCCTTGACAGTTAAGCTCCATGGTATTCACTTAAGATCGTTAACGTCTCTGCCTTCCATTGTCACAGCCTGCCTTTGAGTCTCTTACGAAAGTTATGTTGTACAACCAGCATTGACCATCACGGACTCCTTGTGTGGATCATCATGGATACTTCTGTACACTGCTCTTGTGAACAATGATGTGACAGAAGAGAACTATCATTTTTGATGTCAGCCCTTGCACGCCATTTACCTGCATGGTTTATGCTGTCTCTGAGAGATGGGCAGTCTATAAAGTTGCATTTCGAAAGTGCTGGTACTATTTCCAGTTCTTGTCGTTAACCTTTTCTCTCTCTGCTTTGCATTCTGATGCCTATACTCTGTGCCACAAATATGCAAATCGTGATTATATGGCTGGAGTTCTTCCTCTGCTTCAAGTCAGTTCATACACATACATCAACCACTAGTATATTATTGCTGTAGCATAATAAGCTAGCACTGTTGCATGGCCGAATGCTTTCCTATCATGCATTATTTTACCATCTTGTTTTACAATTATTCCTAATTCTTTGACATCAATAACATATTTATGAACAGCTCTCTTGCATCCGCTACTGTATGCTGGGAATCAGATTCATTGCATTGTTCAGTTACATCTTGCAGAGAAAGGTGCAGATGTTTCACTGTTGTAGGTTCATTGTATGTGATAAGTGTTCCTATATGCTCAGAAGCTGTTCCAGGGAGTGATGGCTGCTCCCTGCCAGTCCTGTGGTTGGTATTGTTAGTGGTTAAAGCACGTGTGGCTGGGTTTGTCAGTGTGTTGTCAGTCAGAGTTTGATATGGATATATATACAAGAAAGGTGCATTGTTTTGCATACTTCACGCACATTCTTGTTTCTGTCACTTTCTCAATAGCATGCACCTTACTAATTCTCTGAGTGCTGTGCTCTTGTATCTACCAGAACCTGATTCCTTCTTTAATTCTTCTTATTGGATGTTTACTGTGATTTTAGCAGCTGATTCAATTTTCCTTGTAGATGTCGTTCCTTCCTCCCTATAATCCCCCATAATTCCAGCAGAAATTGGTCTGGTTCCAACATCTTTGCAAGAACCTATAACAAATGTGAGTCTCTTCCCACACTGTGACGTGTTTGTTTTTACTCCACCTCTGAAGCAGAAGAAATGAACTTTTCACGTAGCGACAAGGATTTTGGTACTGTTGTCAGGATATTTCTGAAAGTGGTTTTGTGCATAATATGATCGTAAAACCCACTTACTGTTAAACATAAGTCCTTTCAAGCTCTGCTTCCTGAACCACCCAACAATTGCTCGCTTAATTTGCAAAGCCTGACAATTAAGGCGGAATATGGATATGATGATTGCTTTGTGTGATGCAAATTTCTCATCTTTATTCCCTTTTAGCTGCATAGCCCCATATGCATCTCATGCCCATGTTTGGCTCATTAGGTTGTGTGTTAGTAACAAAGTAGCTGGAGCATTTATTTGCTTTCTACAACTAAATTTCATTTTATTAATGTTATTTTATTTTATTTTATTGTCTCACACAGCATTCTATACAGTAACCTTTTTATAACTGACATATGTTATTCCTTCAGGTAGCTTCTACTGACAAACACAAAGCTTGTTTGTGTGCAAATGCAAGGCTGACTAAATGGTGCTAAAAGTGTATTATGACTGTCAGATATAATCAGGCAAAATTTTGTGGTGCTTAGACTGATTTTTTCATTGATTTTATTGATCAATGCATTGAATAGTGTTTTATTATATACAAGTTGTCTTTTATTGGTAAATCAAGACTTCATAGTGCATTGTTAAATAAAATGGGTTGCTTAATCTACATAACAGCTCACCAAGCTATTATCTCTTTAACTCCTTACAACATTGTGTCATTAAAGGTCAAGGGGTCATCATAATAATCTCATTGCTGTAGACCATTAACATGACCAAACATTTTCAACAAAGTACTTATGTTTACAATGCTATAACCCTTTGACTGCTGCGGCAACCTTTAACCACAAAAAGTCACATGCTAGAATCATCACTATGGTTCTTGCCATGGCAATCAAAGAGTTAAGGGCTGTGCAGTGATTTGTTTTATATTTATTAATTTATATTTATTTTTGTTTTCATTTGAGAAGGGGGGAGTTGGGGTGGGGCAGTTTTTGTCTGCTGTAAGTGTCTTAACCAAGGGAAGGGTTAAAGTGGCTTTTTATACTATCGCATCTTATGTACTTACCATCGTTTCATTGTGTTGTAATTAAAAAAAAAATCTGTCAATAAATAAGAGAACAGAAAAAAAAGTTTCATAAAGGCATTGTGGTTTACTCAGTGTATGTTGTAAGTGTAAGTTTTATAGCTGCTGCTCTTTGGAGAGCTGGAGCCTCAGCGAAAGAATACATAAAAGATACTGCCATTGCATGGAGATATTATGGATATATGTGGGTATGAGCAAAGCGAAAGAAACATTGGTTATTTTTTTCTAATCAAAATAAAGTAGGAAAAACTAATTTGTGTGAGAGAGGGGGAGAATATCTGGTGACGGGCCTACTTTTGTAATGTCTGCAGGGCCACTTGTTAGAGATTATTGTTGCAGCCACTAAAAAAATGGTCAACAGATGACTGAATTTTCTCACTTCTTGTGTGTAAGACAAACCATGAAAGGTATAGTGTAAACAAAAGGTGAGTCTAATCATTCAGCTGAAAATAGCTGAAGAATAGAAAGCAAAAAATATGATTTTCTTGAGGTAGAAACATAGAAGACCATAACCCTAAAAGGCAAAGGAGAGTTTTACAGCACTTTGGCCATGCAGCTCAGCCTTGCAAAGATGTAATTATTCTCAGGCTATGTAGACTTCAGGGATGAGATGAGTGTGTAAGGGTACAGGAAACCAGGAACAAGTCTAATCTATTTGGAAATAAGCTAAAAGGTGTTACTGTTTCAGAGTCCCAGTAAGAAAGAGATCAGCACTGGTACCTGATCCAGGACCAGAGGCCAAATTCATCAGATGTCTAAGCTACCTTAAACCTCACTCTCTCCCATTCTAAATCTGAAGGATGTGTTTGACACTTGCTAGCATACATACATTGCTCATCATTAAAAAAAAAAAAAGGAAAGAAGAAGTTCACTCATTATTTTTTGCCTGAGAAAATGAAGAGAACTGAATACAGCAGATGCTACATGTCCTTGATTGCCCTTCTCACATGCCAGGGGAAGGAAGCTCAGCTCTGGCTGAGCTTTGTCTGAGGGTATTTGGCAAGCAGAACACTGGTTTGGAATGGGAGAGCATGGAGAACATCATAAATGTCTTAGCATCTTCAGTTGATGAAAGTGTGGTGTTTTTGGAAGATCTGAATTAAAGCAACTTCCAAGTTGATTTAAGTCTTTTTCTTACATCAAACTGTTCAAAGCATAAGTGAAGATGTTACTATGAGCAGAAAACTTTTTAGTAACAAATCTAGCAATCACAGCTAACACATCGGAACTTTGGCGCCATAATCAAATAGGTATTTCACACCTGTTTCACATGATCATTTGGCAGAAAATTGGGTTTCCATTTTAATGTTTGGGCTGAAATTGGAGATTTGGCTTTCTGGAATTATTCTTGTCTAAAAATCTTTCTAAGCAGGAAACAAAATCAATACTAGGTGACTCTGTTAACCAATCAGACAAAATTAGTTATGAATAACAAATATTTCTAATCACTGCTTGGCAACTTCTCTCACGCTACTTGTTTGAATTATGGCAAACAGTGATAAAATAAAACATCTGGTCATCAACAATTGTCAGTGGAATTAAAAATGTGGATATATTATGTATGTCTTTCTTTAGCTCTAAGCAGCATACAATAACACAGCTGATTTCCACCCAAAAGAAGCTAAGAGATGAGTATTTTACAGGCCATCTACTAGGCTGACTTGCAAAATGGTACAGGTGCTTACCTAATCTAGACCTGCCTGCGCTTCAATGATAATATCATTCAATCGTAAAGTTTATGATAGACATGGCACAAATTGCTTTTTCTCGAGTATATTGGTGGTACTCTGCTGCCAGTGATACCAGTGTGTTAGTAGAGAGATTCTTGCTGTAAGTTATTCAAGGTTTAGGTGTAAATTTGAACAGTGCTTCATTAGGGCAAAAAGCTAGACCTTGATCAATGTGTAACTAATGCAGACTTTGGTCACTTTCGAAATACCAGAAAGGAGGCATATTACGATCCTCTGTATAAGCATTCAGAATATAAAGGAGCTTGCTTAGCAAATACATGTTCTGTTTCTTCAGTGTTTGTTACATTAAATGCAAAGCATAGAAGTTTTCACTTAAGTGCTTTTTCCTCCATGCAATTATTTCCTTTTTTTTAATCCAAAATTTTGGTGTTATAATTCAGGAGAACAGGGTGCGTAAGCTACAAAAGTAAAGTAGCAGCCAAAAAAAAAAAAAAAAGAGTATTTGAAGAGCCAATATGTTTTGAAGTTATTCTTATATTAGCATTTAATTTCTGGAAAGTTTCCAAGCTGAATAAGTATCTTTGCTACCGTACTGTTCAATATATTGATGTGAAGTTTGATTTGCAACACATTCATCCCTTCACAAGTCACTGCAAGAAATAATTCCTAAAGAGCATGCTTAATTGCCCAGATATTTGTGTGAAATTACTTTCATTAATCACTGTATTGATTATATTTCCTCTTTTTTCCAGGATTCTATTTTTAAACATTTATCTGAAGTAACATGTAGAGGCATCCTTGTTATCCATGACTTGCTTGCTTGCTATCTAATTGCTAGATAAAAGATTCATTGTGCAGAGCTTCAATTTGCTGCTGTGTTGTGGTTCATAAATACTTTTTGCTTTGATTTTCAACACCAGTCAGATTATTCTGACCATGACAAATGACAAATGTGGTTGCAGTCCCCTTGCTTCAACACTGGGAATTTATTACCTTGTCACGCTGGCCAACTTCTTGCTGCATATCTTTGCTCATTCTTTCATTAAAGTAATAGTTTCAGGCTGAAAAGGTAGTAGAACTTAAAGAGTCTTTCTAGTCGTGTTGCTCTTTGGAAGAAAATACTCTATAATTCATGAAGGAGTAGTTTCACAGGGAAGATGCGGGGTGTCTAAAAACTGTTACCATGTTAAGTTACTTAGTACCCAAATCGCTTTCAGGTCCTGTTCCCCTGACTTTTGTCACACTCTTCTGGAGTGTACTAAGTGGTTCTTCCAGTGGTAAAACCTGTGTTTTCTTTTGGAGACAGTTATTTTAAGAATATTGGATAAGACAGCATTATCTACTCCACAGGTACAACACTCTCAGGCATAAGGCCTATTCTGAAAATAGCTCAGTTTGAAAAGCAAACATAACCTTTCCATCCAGGAATGACATGTAGAAGAATGCTTGTTTGACTACTAACAAGAAGAAATCTTGTTTGACTACCACCGATAGCCACTTAGGCACTCTTTAGATTCAGGACTATAGCAGAGGTAAAGGAAATTTAAACTGTCTCCAAGCTAACTGTAGCCTTTCAGAGGATAAATTGAGGATACAGGAACCTAACTGCCCCTTATAAGTCTAGGGTAGGATGTAATTGCCAGTTTTTAGCCCCCAAACCTGTGCATTAAGTAGATACATTAAGCCTCTAGCTGGCTATAACAGAGTTCTACCCTAGATAGAGACCTTCAAAGGTATCTTTCTCTCTCCACTGAGTAGAGAGCAAAATTTTAGAGTTCATTTAAGAGGACTGGTCATCTTGATAACCTAACCTAAGTTAAATGGATTGTATCCCTTCACCCAGTCCTTGGTGACTTGCTGAAGACAGCACAAGGCTAACATGCTACTGAACTGTAAACAGCACAGCTGACGATGTTTCCCTAGGCTTCCTACTTAGATGTTAGAAAGAAGGAAAAAACTTAAGTTTTCTCTGTGTCATTATCTGCTTGCCACAGTTTCCCTGATATATGGATGTTCTTAAACTACACACATGTGATGCACCACGCCTCTTCTACAATACTAGGAACTCCTAAAATGTAAGAACGTTTCTTAAGGTCTCATAATAAAAAAGAGGAACTATTAATACCTATAGCAATTCTTCTTTCCCTTAACCCCTCAGTCAGAAAAAAAATAGATGCAGGCAACACAAAAAGATGCTGGGAATAGTAACATTCAGAGATTCCACACAATTAAAAGAAATAAGCTGTGTCAGGAATCACAGTACAAACAGAAAAAAGGAAAATGCAAAGGAAGTTCAATACATGCCTTTCTGTTTCCAAATATCTGACTCACGTTTGCACATCTGACTATACTAGAATTGTATGCTACTGCAGGACACTACCCAAGGGACAACTGACCCAGAGCCTCCCATCTAGGAACGACAAGCAGAAATGTATTCTTTCCAGGTGCACCACTTTCTTATTTCTTTCCTTTTTTTTTTTTTTTTTTGGAATAAACCAAAATTCCGGTTTAGAGTGGCTTACATTACTCTTACTAGTTGTAAGGAAGGTTGCTACACTGATTCACTGTTGAAATTGGGTTGTATAGCAGAGCTTTGCACCCTAAAACAGCGTAAAGAAGACACGTTCATTGAGCTAGCCTATATGGACATCAGTTAGCAGAAAAGAAGTATGTGAGAGCAGGAAAAGGTCTAGCAAGGGCAGCAGTGCTGAATGCACTCAGACTGTAATGCTGAATACCGCCTACAGCACTTGCACAAACAGTGCTTTGTACAGCTCTTGGCTCAAATGCTGTCTTATACCATACAGCACAAGCTCGTATCTTGCTGAGAAATGTTACTCTACTCTGTGTCCTCAGGTCTCGGAGAGGAAGAGGTAACAGACAAATGAGGACACACAGCATGGTACAAACGTGACAGATGAAATGAGAGAAAGGTAAACATTCTGTGAGAAGTGAGAAAAGCAGTAAAGACTGGGATATACAGAAAAAAAGGTTTTGAGCTTTGCTTTATTCCATTTACATACGGAAGTTAGTTTAGACAGTGGAATTTCTATTTGCCTAACTTCTGGGGAAATCAGCACAATGCACATCTTCCTGGTGATGTTGCTTATTAAATCCAAGTACAATCAGTAGCTAAAGAGGAAGGAGAAAAAAAATCTAGATTGACAGTACTGGGAAAGTTTAAAACGCCTGAATATGAGATGATTTCTCAAATCCTTTGGTATGAAAGGGACATTGTCAAATGTCATAAGGTCCTAATGACCTTTGGAAACATAAACAGGGAATTGCAATCTCATTTAAATTTTGATTAAAGGAACGGAAGTGGTTCAGAGAGACAAGAAATTGAAAGTTCTAAAGATTAAATTATTCCTTTGACCAGGCAGGCCGTATGGTGTTGCACAGCATGTATGCCATCTCCGCTGGTGTGGACTGCAGGAACAGAGGGACAAAACCTCTATCCTCGCCTCTCCCAATCCTCTCCAAATTGCAGTGGCATAATCGTATGTGCCTATTTATCTCAGAAGCTGCTCAGTTCATGCAGAGCTTTCTTCTTTATATATAAAAGCAATTATTTTAGCATTGGCAATCTTACTCTCTCGTGTCTCTTTCCCTTCAGACTCTTTACATGAATTCTTACAGCAGCAAATCTCAGTTTGCAGCCCAGTGACTAGACTGGACACTCAGGAGATCCTCTAAGGCTGCTTCTTTCTGCCTGCAAAGCCCATAAAGTGGTTTTGCAGCTGCTTTTGTAGTCTTGTGACTGGAGTGAGAAAGAGGAGAGGAAAGATATCTAGATGATGGCAGTGCTGGACTGATTGCCCTTAGGGATTAGACAATTTGTGTTCAGATCAGTCTTCTTTCCTCTATATCTTAAATGGAACAATTTACACATTTAATCCTCAAAGTGCTTTTGCCATTCATATTCATAACCCTGAGAAGGAAGGATTTTAAATTCTTTTTCTCTTCGGTATTTTTCAGTATTGTGGAAATATTATGGCAACTATTGTGAATCTTACTCTAAAGTGCTTCTCCAATCAATGTAGGAGGAGTTTAGTGCCTAAACTCCTTCTAGCTTGGATATATAAACATAGCCTCTTTGCATTGGGTGCCTTAAACTTAAGCTGGGTCACTTTAGTAAATTCTGCGTGGACTCTGTGTTTCTTCACATTCTAAGTTTAAGGTTGCATTTGTCAGAGCAAGTTCCTTCTAAGTGGACCAAGCTAGTTTTTAATCTGCTTCCCAGAGTCCTCTTGGGGGATTAGAGGGCTTTAGTTATTCTTCTTAAAGCTTATCTTACTTTACTGGATGAGACTCCTGGCACCTCTCTGGAGATGCAAAATTTTGCATGTTAATCATCGAGAAATATGGGAATATGGGAACATGGGAAGGTCCCCACGTCAGAAACCGCCTTCCTGGATGGGATTATCACAGCATCCATCTCAAATTGAAATATCAGCCTAAGTTAAAGAATAATTGATAAGATTTCTGCTGTAATTCACTTAAGAATTCATTTCTTTCACTGAAACAAAAAAATAGTTGAATTATGAGTTGTACTGTATCATGTCTTCCTAAAAGGGCCTCAGGACTGGAAGCTGGTTAAAGGGACAGCAATTTTTAAGAGCTCCATGCAAAATTTGAAGAACTGCAGCCAAGTAAATTGGCAGCTCTAGTAAGCAAACTGATCTTAAGAAAGGGATATGTAAAAACATAGATATGTGTAGTACATGCGACTGGAATCAGAATGACTTTTTTTAGACAATCATCTATTAGAGTTCATGAAACTCTAATAGTTTCTCTGAAACATTTGTTATGTAAATAACAGTAATTGAGCTGATGTGCTTTTGTGGCTTTCCAAAAGGCATTCAGCAAAGTCCTCCTCCAAGGACTCTTAAAGAAATTGAGCTGTTATAGCAAAGGAGGGAAGGTCCTCACATGAATAAGTGATTAAAATACAGGAAATAGGGAAGGATTACCTGGTTTTCACAATGGAAAGACATCATAAATAAAGCCCTGCAGGAGTCTTTACCAGAGCCTGTGCTATTCATTATATTAATAAATGATCTGGAAAGACTAATATGACAAAGTTTACTGATGACACCAGAGATAATAAAGCTAAGGACTGAGTGTCGATAATTGTACAAAACAGAGGGCTGCACAATATTAAGGGGTTAGGTAATGAAATGGCCTATAAATGTAATGATGAACAAGTGAAATATACAGTTATAAAATTAAATTTAATATACATAATGAAGTTCTCTGAACCAAGTATTAGCATTTGAGAAAAGCTCTTAGGACTATGAGAGAGAGATCTATGAAAGTGTCAATTTAATACACAATGGCAGTGAAAAAAACAATTGAGGTGTTAGAAGTTGTTTGAAATGGAATAGAGTAAAATAACAAAAACTTATGCTGCTGTATAAATCTATTATACATCTGCACCTTGAATTCTACTTGAAGTTCTGCTTCCTTTACTCTGCTTACATGTCAAAAGTGCTT